CCCTGCCCTGCCCGGCCAGGGGGGAGGCTCGCTGGCGAGGGCCCAGCTCCGGCGAGGCGAGCTGGGCCCTCGTCGGAGCTGGGCGAGCTGGGCCCTCGCCGCCGCTGGGTGAGCTCCGCCCTCGCCCAGATCTAGCGAGGCGGAGCTCGCCCTGCCATGGCGAGCTCGCCCAGCTCCGGCGAGGGCCAAGCTCACCTCGCCGGAGCTAGGCCCTCGCCGGCGAGCCTCCCCCCTGGCCGGGCAGGCCAGGCGGGAGAAGGAAAAAAAAAATGGAAATTTTTTTTGAAAATATTAAAATATTGCCACATGGACGCCGGCTGGCGCCACGTCAGCCGGCCGGCGGCCACGTCAGCGCCGGCCGGCGGCCACGTCAGCGCCGGCCGGGCAAATGGACTGAATTGGCTTATTTGCAAAAAATTTAGGACTAAATTGACCAAAAAAAAGGTTTAGGACTGAATTGGCACAATTGCAAAAGATTTAGGACTTTTTTGGTAATTTTCCCGCAATCGCAGACACCGAGAAGGGAAGCGCTGAAACGAAAGTCAACTAATTCTAGGAGGCGAGAGATTGGTAACAGCATGAGGACGACGCCCGAGCAGCGAGAAGTAGAAGCTCAGGCCAAGGAACCGGCAGGGGATGCTGGGAAGTTGGTGTTTTTCGGCGAGAAGGCGTTCGAATTGGAGGATTTCTTGAGGGCCATTACCAAGTCGGAGGCTCTGGGAAAAGGGAAGTCAGGGACGGCCCGCGGATTAGTTCTGGAGTCTGGGTCCAGGGGGCTCGTGAAGACTCTTGGTCTTGGGCATGTGAACGTTGATGCCAAGGACGAACTCAAGGAGAGGATAGAAGCTATTGGCGCAATGGATCACAAGAATCTACTCCCTCTGAGGGCATACTACTCTGAATCTGGGGAACAAATGCTTCTGGTGTATGATCGAGTGATTTTGGAAAGCTTGCACACATTTTTACATGGAAATGAAAGAAATCGGGCAAAATTGGTCATGGAGCTAAATCGGGCAAAAATATGGGAAATCAAGTACCGCATTGCCCTTGGAGCCGCCCGGGCCATAGAGTATATACATACTCGAGGCCCCAAAGTCTTCCATGGAAACATCAAATCATCCAATATCCTCCTCAGCTCACCATCCTTGCGCGATGCAGAAGTTATACATCCAAGTTTTTAAACTTGTAGTGAGGTATTTGTTATTCTATATGAAGAGATTTCTTCACTTCTAACATTTCGAAAGGACCGCACCAAATGACTCGTTAATCTCTTTCCAGAAGTTATACGTCGATATATAGATTTGGCTTAAATTGAAAATTTCGGGATTCTTACTATATGACAGCTTGGGGATAGGTGACCGTTGACACCTAAATTTTAACTAGACATTTAGGAAAAATTGCATAAAAAATTAGGGTTTAATTTTTTTAACCCCTAAACAAAAAAATATAATTAGATGGCATTGCATATAGATATTAGGAGCATTCCATTAATAGTTAATTAGGCCCATATAGTTTGCATATTTATCGGACTGACGGCGAATGGACCCGACAGCGAATGGTTTTGAGCTTAAATGAAATTAATTGAGCCCATGATCAGAAAATATATTGCGCCCAATTCAGAAATTAATGTTACTAAAATTCTGGTTAATTAGCACGATATTTCGAAACGGGCGTGATCTTTCGAGCACTTGTGGCACTCGATTCTCTCGGTTAGGGATAAGAAAAGAAAATAAATAAATAAAAAAAAGGATTTGATTTCCTTTGTATCTCCGTACAAAAGGGAAACAATAAAATACAAAAGAGGAAAGTGGAATCTGGTCGCGTTCATGGGCGTGAGCAAGAAGGCCAAAATATTGAAAAGAGCCAGAATATAATATATTCTAAAGATGAGGAAATTTGATTGGTTTTCTTTCCTTGAATATAATATATTCATGGTCATCATCTTTGCTCTGCCTCCAGATCGTGAACAGCAGCCATCATCACAACAAGTCCAGTAGCGATGACGAGCTGTTCCTAATCCAAACTGCAACAACGACTCCTGTTGCTCGTCCCTGCACTCTCGGTGATCTGCTGCTCCCAGGCTTCCCTGATCGATCTTGTCGTCGCTGCTGATCCGGAGACTCTGCTGCCTTCTCATCGCGAACCCAGCAGCGACGAGTCTTCGTCGCGTCCCCTCCCTGCTCGATTCACCCCAGCAATCAGCAGCATCAGCGATCAGTCCAGCAACCAGGCGTTGTCCTGCAGTGTCCCCGTAGCGTTGTCATCCTGCCCGTGCGAGTTGCTGCTGTCCCTGCCTTGCCTTGCGATGTGTTGATTGCTGAGAAGCCACACAACTTACGGAGACAGCCAAAAAGTTAAAAAAAAAAAAAAAGCAGCAAAGTTCTCTCTTTTCCTGGTGGTCACTACTCGTGTCTCCCGGTGTTCCACGACTGCCGCTCCTGCCGTCACATCTGCCATATCCCAGCGGCTCTTTGGAGTTCAGCGAGTGTCCAGCAGGCTGTTACCACCGTGGTGAGCCCGGAGCCTATCCGACCCACCCCCCACCGCCATTGTCGTTCGCTGACGTTGCCGTCGACACCCCGTTCCGATCCGCAAGCCCGATCCGGCACCGAGTTCGAATTTGGAAGATATCCGCAAATTAGGTAAGATCATTATCCGAATATTTTTTGAAATATTTAATTTCTTAAGTTTTCGGTGTTTGAATATTTCGTGGATATTATTTGGTGGATTGCTAAATCTTAGGATAATATTTGGGATATCCGCAATATTTGAAACACTTAAAATTAGGAATTTTGCCTAATTTAGCAACGTATCTGGACGACTATTCGACCTTATCCCTAAGGTACGATACGCGGCGATACGGAAAATCGTTATCTTGTCCATAATCACTTGGACACGATAATAGATTTTATTTGCTTTCCGAATTTGACCAATCAACTTTCTGTCGATATCTATAACCCTATAGATATGACCGTTAGTTTGATTTCTTTGCCTCGTTTAAATTTGATAAGAAAAATTTTGCGGATTGTGGATATTGATTTGATGGTGGTGTTTATCTCTTATTTGATTTTGTTTCTTTAAAAGAAAAGCCAAAAAGATTAGATGCAATTTGAATTGATTTCTTTGAAGATAATGTTGCATGTTTATAATATATCTAGATAACATTTTTTTGAATAGAATAGGACAACCAAGATTTGCTAGAAAGATAAGATAATTTCTAATTTAAATTAGGAATTAGGGTAATTTGTTTCCTAGTTTAATTAGATATTATTCTAACCTTGATAGTTCATTTCGGGTTGATTTTAATTTCGAATTTCGATAAAAAAAATACCAAAAAGAGTGTTCTAGAATAGGTTAATTTGCTTTCTTTAGTCTAAAATTGCATGCTTAGATAATTGGCATTTTTTATTTCGAATTTCATTGAAAAATACCAAAAATAAATCATTTGTCCGTCATTAGAATTAGGTCACGTCGTCGCGTGTCATATAGTTTGCATGTAGGCTGCATTAATTGCATGTTAATTTTTGCACGTAATTACATATAGGTTAGGTTTAATCTAAATAAGTGAAAATCCTAAAAAATATTGAGTGAACCGCTTGTTAATTAGAAATTATATTAGGATTGCTGATGTGATTTTTTAGCTAACAATGCAGATGCTTACGTTGCTTCGAGGTAAGTAATTCTCCCAATCTTGCAATTTATTTAATGTTTTGATTATTGTGTGTTACTTTGGTAGTTTGCGCACCCGCATGAACACCTCACATGTTAGTAATTAGGTAATAAAATGGATCCAGACTGCCTGCATAAACATTTTTTGAAAAGAAAAGGTACCGAAAGGGCGTTAGACTAGATCTAGCGTAACCAAGTCCCCGAGCTTAGAATCTCTGGTTCGTAGGAATAAAACATATCTCCCTATGTTTTATTTAGGTTTCTAATCGACCTACCACAAATAGATTAGTGGCGACTCCAAGCATGAAAACTTTTGCATTTTAAAAAACTTAAACCCTAAGTTGCGAATTGGTAGGGCTTGGGAGGGCCCGAATTAAGTTTAGACTTAATAATCCATTAGCCTGAGAGAAATTTTAGGTCGCAACAGTGACCCTCTTTCACCTTATTTTTCTTTGCCATAAAAGGTTCGCGTGATAAGTGCTCTCTAGAGACTTGTCATGTCTATTTAATTCGAAATAATTACCATGATCCTTTTACTTTAAATTTGTTCGATATGGAATTTTGGCTTTTGACACATGTTCAATTCGATTCTTGTACTACGTGAAAATGTTCGATATCGTCCCCGAACTTGAATTAATGGAAGGATAACACAACATCGAACAATTTCATTGAATATGTATACTGAACATATTAAAAGTTCAGGGGCGACAAAGCACATTTAATTTTTTTTACTTTGTTCTATCTCTAGCTCTCTTTGCTCTTTAATTTTTGCTCTGTTTTTTACAAAGCGCGAGAGTTGAACCTCGCACCTGCAATACTAACGCCCCCAGCCCCTAAATATTTACGGGCATAGCCGTGTACCTATTGGATAAGGATCACAATGCTAAAGTTCACGAATCATTCTGGTCATTAACGAGCGTAATTACTCAACGGGAACTTTGCTCCACGGAAATCATGATGACCAAGAAGACCGAAGGGGAAAGATCCCGAAGCTTTTTATGACGCAATGAGCTTTCGCATAACGCACACCTCTCTCTCTCTCTCTCTCTCTCTCTCTCTACTCTTTCTCTCTCTAGGATCATGTCGTGTCTGAAAACAGAAGAAGGGGGGGAGAGGGGAGGGAGTCGTAGCCGCCACGTGTACGCACGCGCCGATCCAATTGCAAAGATCAATTTATTAATCCAGTTCGATCCATCCAACCACAATTTCTCCCGTTTTTCTTTTTTCAATTTTTTCAATTTTTTTTTTCCATTTATCATTTTACTTTTCCTTTTGTCAGCTTCTTTTCGGGGACATCTCCTGCTCCAGGTTCTTGTGTTGCAGAGGAAGGTGTAATGGTCTCACCTTAGTGTGTCTTCCTTCTTCCTCCTCCTCCTCCTCCTCCTTCTCCATGTCAGTCCACTCCTCTCTCTCCCTCTCTCTCCTCCTCCCTCCGACCGCCTGATCCGCCATGCCTGCTCGGAACCCTAATTCGTCCTCACCCACCTCCGGCAATTCCCAAATTCTCTAACTTTATCGCCTGCGAATTTGCCTGCCTCCCTGCCCCCCCACCACCCCTCAAGAACCCTCGATCCCCACGAGCTTTTTCTCTTCAAGAATCGCGGCACATTCGGGTCTGGGTTCGGCCCTTTTCGGGGTTCGCGTTGTGGGTTTCGGCTGGGTTTCGTTTTGGTCCCCGGATGGTCGGGATTGGTTTCGATTGATTTGCGGGGAGAGGGAAAAATTTTTCCTTTCTCCGTGGTTAGATCTGGTTTCGGCTCGTGTTCATGGCGGTTGGTGGGTCGTGAAGGAGGTTCTTGAGATTCGACCGCGCCGCGAGATCCGCCATGATTGATTGATCCGGCTGGGAAAGCGTCCGACGGAATCAAAAGCTTTGGATCCGATCGGCGGAGAAACAGCGCCACGCAGATGGCGCTGTTCAGACGACGGTTCTCCTATCGGACGCCGCCGGATAGGCTTCTTGAGATCTCTGAGAGAGTCTATGGTACGTTTTGTCCGACCCCTCTTTCCGGCCCAATCCAATCCGTTCGTTTCTTTTGATGCTTTGGAGCTGCATGATTGATGCTTCCTCGTCGAATTGGGCACGTTTGGCTCAATTTGGGTTCTTTGGATGTGCATTTTTAGAAAGTTGTGCCTGGGGTGCAACTATCATTCATCAAATTGGGGTTTTGTATGATTCTGGGTTAGTTTGCTCATTCCACCTTGCCGAATTTTTATCTAAAGATCTTCGCAAAATGACCGAGTTTTTGACGGTGTGTCCATTTCCACTGTTGACATGCTGCTTTGTGTTATGTCCTATCCACTAGATGGGTATTGCCTTTTTGATTGTCCGTTCATTCTTTGCTTACCCAAGCTAGTCGGCACCGTTCCTTCTTCTCTTGGTAGTTGATATTGCAAGTGCGATACACGGGGTGAAGTCCTTTCTTGATATTTCCGAGGCCGTATGCTAAATTGCTAGTGATACCTCCACCACTGTTTGTGATGTTCATTCTTAAAAACTCTAAACACGTATGCAAGGGCATTTTGTTTTAATGGGGATGTTTGGATTGATCTCGTGTCCCTACTTCTTAAGTCAAAAGTTGCTACCAGTTCTTCTATGAGGAAGAACTCTTCTTGATGTTTCTCGTGTAAACTGCTTCTACTCTTCGTTTGTGGGAGAAGCTATATCCAATGTTCTAAGATGGGCAGCATCGAGCTGATTTATTCCTTTATTGTTGTTACTTGGCTTTATTATTGTTCGATGTATCTGAACACAAAAATGTGGCTTCATCTTTTTCGTTTTTTTATGCTGTTTCTCTTGCAGTCTTCGATTGTTGCTTCTCAACGGATGTCTTGGAAGAAGATGAGTACAAGGTCTACATGGGCGGCATTGTAGCACAGCTTCAGGATTTCTTTCCTGATGCTTCTTTCATGGTCTTCAACTTTAGAGAAGGGGAGATGCGGAGTCAAATCTCAGACATCTTGTCTAATTATGACATGACGGTGATGGACTATCCTCGGCAGTATGAGGGTTGTCCCCTGCTGCCACTTGAAATGATACACCACTTCCTCAGATCAATTGAAAGCTGGTTGTCACTGGAAGGGCAACAAAACGTGCTTTTGATGCACTGTGAAAGGGGAGGTTGGCCTGTGCTCGCGTTCATGCTTGCTGGTCTTCTTTTGTACCGTAAACAGTATAATGGAGAGCAGAAGACTCTTGAAATGGTCTACAAGCAAGCTCCTAAGGAGCTTCTTCATCTTTTGTCTCCTTTAAATCCACAGCCTTCACAGTTGAGATATCTGCAGTACATTTCCAGGAGAAACTTGGGTTCAGAGTGGCCTCCTTCTGATACGCCTTTACTTTTGGATTGCCTGATTCTTAGACACCTTCCTCTTTTTGATGGAGGCACAGGTTGTAGGCCAGTTGTTCGTCTGTATGGTCCGGACCCTTCGACACCAGCCAATAGAAGCTCTAAGCTCCTCTTTTCAAGTTCTGATATGAAAAAGCATGCCCGTTTTTATTTACAGGTAATAGAAATAAATTGGAGAGTAAAGAAAAAAATAAAACTGCAAATGAAAAGTACTTATATTTGTTCTTGCAGGCGGAAAGCATACTGGTCAAAATTGATATTCAATGCCGTGTCCAAGGTGATGTTGTTCTTGAGTGTATCCACCTGGACGAGGATCTAGTTCGAGAAGAGATGATGCTTAGAATTGTCTTTCACACAGCCTTTGTACGGTCAAATATATTGGTGCTGAATCGTGATGAGGTCGATGCTTTGTGGGATTCCAAGGATCAGTTCCCCAAGGACTTTAAGGCGGAGGTAATTCCTTGTTTTTTGTCTAAGAATGTTTGGTTCATGGTGTTGCGGGAGTTGAGTGCATTTACTCATCTCTGTACCAGGTACTCTTTGTGGATGCTGATGCTGTTGTACCTAATCCCACCTCAGCCACGACTGCTGAAGATGGAAATGAGGCTGAAAGTGCTTCACCTGAGGAGTTCTTTGAGGTCGAAGAGATATTCATTAATGCGATAGAAGCACAAGAATGGGAGAGGGAGAGTGATGTAAGTACTTTGCAAGGCAAACCTAAAGATGGTGATGTGAAAGAGGTATGGAAGGAGGACGTGGATGCTCATTCATTTCAAGATCGTGCATCAGATGATGGAAACCTCAGACATGACGTGAAGGCAGATTCTGGATATGATGCTGTAAAAGACATTGTTGTGGATGATGTGAAGTACAAGAATCATCAGGGTGCGGATCTGGGTCTCCATATGGTGAAGAATCATCTGGCTACAGCACGTGGAGCCCCACCTCTGCCACCCCCTCTTCCATCACGTGGAGCTCGACCTCCCCCTCCACCTCCCCCATCATATGGAGCCCCACCTCCCCCTCCGCCTCCCCCTTCATATGGAGCCCCACCTCCACCTCCTCCGCCTCCCCCACCTTCTTGGGGCACTCCACCACCCCCTCCGCTGCCATTGCGAGGAGCTCCACCACCCCCTCCGCCACCTTTGGGCGGAGCACCACTGCCACCACCTCTTTTACATAGTGAGGAAACAATGTTGTTGATAATGTTTTTGCATGCTTCAACTATAACTGGTATTTCAAGAAGTGCGCAGTATTAAAAAATCCTAAGGATTCTGCCATGTTACTCTGTAAAATTATATCGTAAATTCAGTCTCGGTATATTGTTTCTTCTCAATTTGACTATGACGTGGGACTCTAGATCTGCTGACATCAAGTACAGATTCAGAAGTCTAGGACAGAAACAAGTTTGTTTTCCTGCAGAAGTAGCATAACCGTTCATGGAGGCCTATTGCGAATAAACTCGTTGCCTCTAGTGAACAAATTATAACCATCTAGCCAATTGGCACATACATTACCTTCCTCAAAAATTAGTTGTTCCCTTGCCGGTTCACTTAACTTTGAATTCCTACCAAGTACAATTGTGAGTCCACTTCTAGTATCCCTCATCTAGAACCCGTATCCCAGGCCATTTTTAGTTCTTTTATCACTTTGTAGTGAGACTTCTTACTCTTCTATGGAGCTTACTAGATAAGAAACAATTCCTGCAAATGATACTTTGTTAAAATCTAAATGATGTTAGGGTATAACAATATAAGAAATTGCAATGGAATAGTAATTTCTTCATTTTGAAAGGAGCCAACTAGTAAATGGTGGTATGAAAACCTTTAAAATGTTCATTTGCTGAGGATCCTCATGAGCTCGTATTTGCCCTAAAACTCAGGGAATCCTGTTCGTTAGTTGACTCATCAGCTCTAATCATCTTGCACCTCAATGTAACTTGTAAGCGATCTGCAATTGAAGTCACTCTTGTGCAAGTTCATGAACATTGATTAAGGGTTTGCATGTTTATAAACCGGACAATGTACCAGGTCATTGTCACGATTTTGCACGTATTTTTCATGTGTTCTTCATTTTCCATCACAATTCTGCAAGGTGTCTTATGGGATGTAATTTTCATCTGCAGCCCCCTCTGCACAGGATCCAAACATTGATCCACAACATGGCCCCACATTGGATGGGTATGGTCAGCCATCTGTACTGTCCGATCACACATCTTCTTTTCCTGGACAAGTCCATTCATCATTATTGCCTCCTCCTCCTCCTCCTTCTGCTGCTGCGGTTTCATCAACTTCTGTAACGTTGTTCGGCATAAATTCACCGAAATATTCTTCCACTTCCCCTCCTAGTTCCCCTTCTCCTCTTAATGTCCCACCATTGCTGGAGTCAACTTTGCTCAATGAGAAAAAAGAGATGAATCCACAAAATGATAAGTTGGTCTTCTTAGGCAATCCACTGATGTCATTTAGTTTCAGGGAGTTTTTGAATGGTAATGCGGAGGTTCTTGGGGAAGGGAGCATCGGGACATCTTACAAGGTAGTTTTGAAGGAAGGGACAACAGTGGTGGTGAAGAAGCTAAGGGATTTGGCTTCATCTACAGAGCAATTTAAGGAGCAGATGGAAATGCTTGGAGCAATGGATCACGAGAACATAATTCCTTTGAGGGGGTACCAGGGAAAGTCACTGTTGTATGATTACTTGCCCATGGGAAGTTTATCTGCACTTCTACATGGATTCAGAAAAACAGGAATGAGCCCGCTAAGCTGGGAAATTAGGCGTGCCATTGCACTTGGAGCTGCCCGGGGAATAGAGTACCTACATTCTCAAGGTCCCAATGTCTACCATGGAAGCATCAAGTCATCCAATGTCCTCCTCACGGCAACATATGATGCACAGGTTTCAGACTATGGCCTGAACCAACTCAAGACACCTTCCAATCACCCTGCATCAGAGGTCGCTGATTGCCAAAAAGCAGATGTGTATAGCTTTGGGGTGTTGCTTCTGGAGCTTCTGCTTGGGAAAGCACCTACTAATAGTTTCAATCTTCCCAGCTGGGTCCATAGTGCGATTCAAGAGGAGCTGGACGGGACTATTGATGTTTTCGATCCCGAGCTCCTGTCATACCAGCATGTAGAGGAATTAACAGGGCTGCTGCATGTGGCAATGGTTTGTGTAGCCCAATGTCCTGGTATGCTCCCTTCAATGTCTGAAGTGCGGAGGATGATTGAGGAGTTGTTTATTCCTAGTGTTCTGAGTGACTGGGACTTGCAGCTAGACCAAATCAATGAATTGAACCATGACACGTCCACTTGGTAAGTTGTTTTAGCGGTCGCCAATATTCACAATGGGTCATCTGGCTTCTAAGGATCACATTTAGCAAACATAAAATCAATCCAATCTTTTAGAATAAACACAGGCAAATCAGTTAAAGAGGTGTCACTATCAAACCTATGAAGAGAAGTGAGCCAGATTGCATCTTTTATGCACTCTCGAACAGTAGCAGCTTCAAGGCCCATCGATTACACTAAAAAGTAGAAGTACTAATAATGGTAATTGCCAATTAATAATACTTCATGAATGAAAAGAAGCCTCCCTCATGAAATTAATGAATAAAGAGCTGTCCCTAGGTAATAATTGTGTATCAGTCCATCAAAAACTGCATAATGTCAAGCATATACTGAAGACAGATGACCTTTCTCATTGTTTCTCATTTCTTTTCTCTAGTGGTGATATGGGTGTATGCTAATTAGCAAGCAACCTGAAAAAAGAAGAGAGATGTGTATATAAACTATTTTGAGATGCTCGTTTGTAAGGATATGATCCATCTTAGATTCTTAGTACACTGCAGTACAGTATTGCCTCACTCGGGAGATTCTTTCGCAGGAAACTACCAGATGAAGCTTTGAGTGTTTCCGAAAATGCTTACGGTAAGCTTTTATATGCTCAATATTTTCTGGTTTGCTAATATCGAGTGAATCATTACAGGTCAAGGATCCTTGACACTTTCGTTTGCACTTGGCTGGTACCAATGACTGCTAGTTTTGTATTTTGAAACATCAAAAAAAGTACTTCCAGAAAATGAGAATTAATAGAAAGTCTCTTTGATTCAGTATGAAATATTGAACCTTATTATGATGCTTTGAAGTGCTAGTGCATAAATCTCAGAGTAATTTGGAGAGCATGTGTTTTCCTGTTTTGTGGGTTAGGCCCGCAAGGGTCAAGTGCACATTTCAAAGTCTGAGAAGAAACAACTTTGTTTCCCAGAAGTCTGATTTGTGATTGGAGGTGCATGTGAAAAACTGTCTGCCTCTTGTCAACGAACCATGATTAGCAAGCCAAATGGAAAACCACTCCAACCCTGAAAATATGATTTTATGGGTCATTGCCTGTCACTATCAAGTAATTTCGACTACTAACTGTGAGTCACCAATAGTATCAGCCAGCTAATATCATGTTGCTTGCCATGTTTAATTCTTGTCTTAGGATCCGCAACTTAGCACAGAGATATACCTACACAGAAAGAAAACTCACTTAATAGGTCCATGGCCGCATAAGATAACAAACCTTGAGCAGCTGTTGCTTAGCCTCAGTTGTCTTCTGACCCCATAAATAATCAATTTGACCAACTCATGGTGGGACCAACAGACATGCATGCCTACTTCGCCAGGGGTTGCTTGCTCCTTGTTGAAGGTCTTTCTCTAGACACACTTCCCTAGGTGTTTCCTTGTTAGATCTAATGGATTTTATGGGCACAAGAAATTGTCTTGGAATAAATTCTCTCTTCAATGTGATTTCAACAAGTTAGTAAAAGGATATAAACATTTGTAGGAATTTAATTTTGAAAATCCTTGGAGCTTTTGTCTATCCTACGAACTCAGGGAATCATGTTCCTTAGTCGATTCATTAGTTTTCAGGAAGTATGGATCGTGCTGCAGCTGTGTAAAAGACCTTTTTCACTCACTTATCTTCTGCAAGTTTATGAACTTGTATTTTGACTTGGTTGTTAACTGACTTTGAAATTTGCTAGGTCAGAGGCCGTGATTCTGCACATATATTGTCTTTATATTATTTTACCTCATGATACGGCATTGTTTCTTAAAGGGTACTGCATTTCAGGGGCTCATATGAGTAATTTTTCTAAGCCAAAAAGCAAAAAGTTCTTGCTGACAGATGCCTTCTGTTGACAATGTCTTGATTTATACATGTATATGTGGATGCAGTGTCTGACAAAGCATTCATGTGGGCGAATATTCTGATGCTTGATTTTGAAACTGAGCTATTTGGGATCTGCAAAGAATTTGGGGCAGAGGTATTGCTTCATTGGTATACTAAGCATCTGTGGTGTTTATATTGCTAGAGAGGTCATTCATTTTTTTCTCATTTGTGAGTAGATTACTTCCTTGCAAATGGATGCTGCTACTTCTGCCGCTCCGGTTGATTTTCCCAATGATGAGGAGGAAAAAAAGAATCAAATAGCAGAAAGAACAAAGAAGATTGAACTCCAAGAACCGCAGGACGGAGACCAAGAAGCCTACTCTATTATACCTTCTAGAGATGCTAATATGAGTATTAAAGAGAACGAAGCTCAAGAACTGCCTGTATGGTCCAATACTGGGTCAACCTCAATTCTGCCACTAATGCCACCTCCCAAGTTAGAAGCAGCAGTTCATTCAGCTGAGGATGGATCTTGGGCTAGTGCTGGCACACCTTCAGAATCTGCATGCCCTTCTCTGAATCAAAACTTCGATTCACAATGTGGCATCACATTGGACAGGAATGGTCAGTCCTCCATATTGTCCAACCTCACATGTTCCTTGTTGTCTTCTTCAGGACAATTTCAGTCATCATTAATTACTCTTCCTCCTCCTCCCCCTCAATCCTCTGGGGCGTCATCATCAAATGCTATTTCATCTGATCCCCCAGCCAGTGCCCCTTCTCCAACCCCGCTTGTTTCAACTCTGCTAAATGAAGAAGAAGTGCTTGACCTACCAAATGATTATGGGGCTCAGATGGAACAATTGGTGCCTTCTTTCCAACAGTATCAATATGCAAGTTTCGCAAGAATGATCATTAAACCACCAAAACTGCAGGCCGTCAAACAGCAACTATCCACTTCTTTGGCAATGTCTCAAGATATCACCTCAGGTAATAAATTCAAAATAGCATTTTACTCTCCATAGTTTTAAAATTTTCCGCATCCAATTTGTGTTGTTGAGTGGATCATTTTCTGAAGAATTCTGAACTTAGAGAACTATCTAAT